TCGACATATTCTTTTTTTTTCAAATTCATTCCATGAAGGACCCAAGAACGAAGGACAGAACAACCTCCAATGGACAGGAACAGGGAGGTGTGTTAAACTCTTATATTTATATTTTACTTACAACACATTAGCGGCTAGTTTGGGGGAATTCCAGCTAGGGTCACGAATTTTGGGTGGTAGATAGCTCTAGTGCTGGGAAAGAAGTGAAATACTTTTGGGTCCTCTAGCAGCTTGTTGTGGAACTACAAAGGCGTTTCCTCATTTGACAATGTGCAATGAAAGTAAAAAATGCCACTTTTGCTTGGCAATGTTGCCTTCTAAATGTAGCTCCCTTTTTGTGTTTTGGTCCCTACAAGAACAGGGGACTTAATATTGGCCATAATAGATTCTTTTTTGTGTTCTTCACATAATTTGGAGAAATTAAATAAAGGATATTAAGAGAGTTTAAAGAAAGCACTTAGTACTGTTTGCAGTTGTTACTACTTAAGTGTATGAAAATTTAATATATGCTTTTGCTGTTGCTTCTTCACTCTGTTTTACTAGACCTGCCTAGCAGTTCAACTATGGCAACACCGAAGAAGACAGTGCCTTACCACGACTGTGCTGATGTCAATGGGGCTGGTCACAGGGCCACAGGGGTCTACAACATTCAACCTCTGGGCATGAAGGTCAACATCCGGGTCCTGTGTGACATGAAGACCGGACATGGCGGCTGGACTGTGATCCAGCGGAGGTTTAACGGTAGTGTGAGTTTTGAGAAGAGTTGGGATGAGTACAGGGATGGGTTTGGCGATGTAGACGGGGAACACTGGCTTGGGTTGGAAAACACCCACAAGATTGTCAGTCAAAAGACTTATGACTTGAGAATCGATGTTGGGAACTGGGAGAATGGTAGCGCTTACGCACAATACGATAAGTTCACTGTGGGCAGTGTGTTTGACGGATATCGGCTCAACGTTGGTGAATACAAAGGTACAGCAGGGGATGCTTTAAATGAAAAGGGTCAATTCGTAGCTGGTGACTTTGAGTATATGCACAATGGACACAAGTTTAAAGTTGAGCAGAAGCGTGGGGGCTGGTGGCATGATCAGGCCAGTATGGCCAACCTGAATGGACCTTACATTCAACCCAAAGTCCAGTTCAGTTGGGATAATATGTTCTGGAATATGTTTAGCGTTTGGAATCTTAAAACCAGCCGTATGGCGATACGACCAGCAAAGTACAGACCCAGACAGGGCTGACTTGAAATGGGATCACAAAATATCACAAAATAAGCGTGCTCTAAAGTATCGGTCCTTAGACTGAAAGCACTCTGCTTTGCCGTCAAAATTGGTAAGGGGCTGCATAAAGAGTAGGGGCTAGGATCTGTCGAAGGGCACTTAGAGGGCATTTGCCTACATACTACATATGGTCCGAAATCAGTGAATGGGAAATACACATTCAACTAGAAAGGTAATGTTTACCCATGTTTATATATATGGTTTGGAGAAGAAGAGGAAACGGAGCAAAAACAATAGGTTTTCCTTCGGTAAACATAATTAAAAGGAACCCATACCCAACGTACTGGTATACCAATAGTGTCCAAATAGAGAAAAGGTAAATCAACTTGACCACAATAAACCTGGTTAACTGAAGCACAAAATTGTATATACACCTGTTTGATAAATTCATTTGGACAAAAATCGCCTCCATGCCTCGGGGGTAATATACATGTAAGTTATATACTGACAGAAAAATGGCGTAGCGGCAGCGTTCTCGACTTGGAACCAGAGGCCCCGGGTTCGAGTCCTGACATGCCACCGATCTTGTGCCCTTGGGAAAGGCACTTTACACGACTTTCCTCACTTCGCTCAGGTGTAAATGAGTATTGTACTGTCCCTGTGTTGGTGGCGGCATTAATATAAGTTGAAAAAACTTGAGTGTGCCGTCACCACGTTTTGTGATTGCATGTTTCGGATTAAAAAAAATAGCTGTACATTTTGATACTCTGCTTCGTGCATGGCAATAATGGTCTTTATTTATTTGCAAAACGCAAAACCATGTCTGAAGGCTAATTACATGTACAGAGTCAAAGACGTATACTGTATGTAACGTAAAGCAATAGAAACTCTTGCAGCAAATGTCTGCTTTTTATTAAAATGGTTATACAAAAATGAGGCACACTCTGTTGCAAAACACCTCTTCAAAAGAGGATGAAAGTCAAAATTCTAAGGTAAAAACGGCTGCATTCATTTGTTGTACATATATAGATGCAGATGCAACATTCCGTTTAACCGACGGACTCAACTTGTCATGATGGCAAATCTGCGTTTTGTGTAACACTATCAGCTGCTGATACAATTTATTAAACATCAAAAACGTCAAAATTGAAACATTGTAAGACACTGTACAAATATAGCAGCATTTAGAGTTTAAAATATAATGTTTCCAAATATATCAATCAGCGTTGCTACATGTTGTCTGGGCTATTTGTGGTAAAGATAGTGTGACAGTCTTCATTAACCATAGAATAAGTTACAGGACATGATGATGAAACATACATATACATATACATATACTTAGAAATATACTTAGAAATACAAATGACTCAACCTAACGGAAATTACAGATGGAAACCTTTGGTACTTTTTAATTTGTCTTCTACCTTGTGAGCCTCAAGTAAAACCCCCATCTTGAAATGTACTTTAAACAATCATTTTTAAAATGTACTTTTCACAATAATTTTTGAAATGTACTTTTAACAATCATTTTCAAATGTACTTTTAGCAATCATTTTTTAAATGTACTTTTAATACTCATTTTTGAAATGTACCATTAACATTTTTGAAATGTATTTTAAACAATACTTTTTGGAAGAAGAAGTGATTCAATCAACTAACAAACCCACGAACTAACAACATTGGGGCCTGCTATGGATTCGAACCCACAACCTTTAGAGTTTTTACTAGATGAAGCCACACTGTCTTAATTTTATGGATGACATCCTCTGAAGACCCCCAAACTAGTGCGCGCTGGTGAATAACAAATAATTTTGCCCCAAAAATGCTGCTAAATGACAGGAATACAAAGCTGGTATATTGTAAATTTGCGCTAGTACATAGCGACTTTTACGACATGCCGGCACATGCTGGCCTTTAGAATCTTATGGTATTTATGAATCGGCACTGTACTTGCGCGAAATTGCGAACTTGAATTGCGCGAAATATCGGGAGCCTGGGTGACATACTCTGTAGTTTATTTATTTATCTATTTGAATTCACCACAAGAAACACAAGTAGAAGGGAGGGCAAAGCAGATACATAAACAACTTTGCAAGCTGTCCTAATAAACACCACAATACAATACCACATCATACATTATAAATTACATTCATAGTACATTACCTGTTGTCGCTAGTTACCAAAGGCTACGGAGGAATGGCACCCAGGCCAGCGCCTCGGAGGGGATGACTTTATTTAGAACAGGCGAAAATCAATGCGCGCGTGGATGTCATCCATAAAATTAAATCACTGTGGTCTGACTAATGTCCTTTTCATTTCAGAAGAGAGTCTTTTAATTTGGGGCAGATTTTGACCGCTGTTGGAACGCGGGGACGGTTGTAGTCTCGGTCTCAGACCGCTGTTTGGAGGACGCGCTGATTTGTTTAAGTTTAACCAGGATCTCCTTGAAGGATGGCCTCTTCATTGGATCTTTTTGCCAGCACTGTTTCATGACCTCAGTGTACCTAATGGTAGTATACGGGAGGATAAGTTCATCGGATACAACATAAGAGACACCTGTTTAATGAAGTATTGTGCCCAGCTATATGGCGCCCAGTTATGGAGCTCTGTTACCTCAGGTGTTCTGTCAAAATGCCGAGTTGCTTACAGCAATTTCTTTAGAATTATTATGAATTTACCTCGGCGATGTACATGTAGTGCGAATGAATGAATGAATGAATGAATGAATGAATGAATGAATGAGTGGGGTGGTGGAACTGGCGTACTGTTATGTCAACTTAACATGTATTTGTAAAATCTTTTTAGGTGCATTAATGTGCATGTTTATTGTATTTTATTGTGTGGCATTGTTGAAATAACTTGAATAAATAAGTTAATAACAAGTTATGAACTTGAGTGCAGCGCCCTTGCCACTGTTTTGTTGTGTATTGATGAATAAAACAAACTGGCAGCTGCCTAGGTGGCTGATCATCCAAAATGTTCTCTCCTAGCGTACTCCAAGGAGCTTGAGTGTATAACCTAACCAGGCAGGTGGTATAGTATCTCAGGATAATCTCAAGCCAAAGATGATCTTCACTACATGTCGTTAAAAGGCCTCACGTTTTCTTTAGTTCTTCTAGCTTTACTTGGAGGTTATCAATGAATGATGTAGATTAGGTATGGTTATTCATACTGGTATCTACGTACCACCAGATTATTTTCTGGACCGTTCTGTTGGTGTAAGCATGGAGAGGTCTTGCACTTACAGTGTGATAGGGCACATGTTGGGCCGCTCCATCCTGTTACCCTCCAGTATGTACTCTATGACGAACCTATGCACGCCGGGATATGGTGTCTTCCCACTGGAGAAGATCTCCCACAGGACAACACCGTACGACCACTGAAGAAAAAAATGGCAAATTTTTAGATTTTTACATACAATATGCTATTCTTTATCGCACCTTTACCCCCCTCCCCCATATTAGCAATCAGCAGAATTGATTAGGACTAAAAATGACGAAAAATGAGCAATGGCATCGGAACATTGCATGGATGTACAAATTATTATAAAAACATCAAATCATTTTCAGCACAGAAAGTAACTTAGTATGTTAACTTACAAAAGCAGGGATCAACAGGGATCACAATTGCAGTTTGAAAGTTTGAAAAAACTTGTTACCTGATTCTGGTTTCCGTGCAAAGCATGAATGAATGAAAGGTTAACGTTGAAATGTTTATTCATTAAAAAAGCCTAGCAGCCATAGGCTGAATTGTCTGCTTCAATACACGTGATGGATTAAAAAGTACACTTAAAAAGTACATAAACGCATTAAACGCAATTAACATTCTTTTACAAAACTTACAGGCCAGTCTGGTATGAACGAATCTCAACAGTCTAAGACTATGCGTACTGAGGCAATTCAGCATTACAACCAAGCTAGTAATCTTTCACTTCAGAATTACAACCAAAAGCGGAACAGTTAATTGGCTAAAATACTCTACAAAAGACGAAAGTGAAAGCACGTTTGAAGTTACCATGTAACTGCGTTGTCTCGGGTTACGATTTGGTTCAAGCCGCAAATCGTCAAAGGTATCCTATATCTTTACTCGCTAAAATACCCGTATAGTACGTATTTAAGGATAAGGATACGTATACCTCAAGATTAAGGAAATTTTCCGTTTTCACATTCCAAATGCAGTCATCTGTCACTTTCTATGTGCTTAAGTTGGATATTAGAAAACAATTGATATTGAAACTATGAATAAACAACGAAACAGACAGAGGAACTCACAACGTCAGTCTTTGTGTCGAATATGTGGTCTTCGTAACACTCCGGTGCCATCCATTTCGATGGTAACGCGACCTGGAGAAAACGTTTTGTTCCCACTTGTCAAAGGTTATGCAAGCAAATATTGGGGGAAAGGAACACGATAGAGCAAATCAAAACGTAGCAACGCACAGTAAATAGTGAGAACGATAAATTTCTCTAAACGTACAAAGCTCGAACATGCATGTAGCACAATTAATTTCTCTAAACTTACAAAGAAAATTTTAAAACTATTCTACTTTTAACTGCCCACAAACCCATTTAAAAAAAAGACATTAGGTCTTACGTGGTAGACAAAAGAGAAGCCAAACCCTTCAGACATGGTTTAAGACATAGCTATAGTTTTAAGCAATCACCTTTTGTTGTGTGTATTTTGAAGTTATTTTGTACTTTGTTTCAATGTTCTTTTGTCCTTGTTACCTGCAATTAGACTTGAGGCAGGAAGGTTTGCAATAAACTTTATCAAAACTTACGTGCTGACCATATTGCTGAGTACAGCTGTGCCAATCGTGTAAAAATGTCTTCTTTTTTTCTTCATTTCGTATTTGTCCAAGTTTGCACAAATTTAGAAGGAGAGGCTCGCGGGTGTTAGTGTGAATTTTAAGACGGAGAAATTAGTGTTGCCGATCGCGAGATTGCACAAAAGCGTAGTATACTTACATCCATGTGCTGTATCCTGTAGTATCCCTTCTCCTGCACGTCTCGGCAAAGTCCAAAGTCGGCAACTTTAAGATTCAACTTATCGTCAAGCCTAGTTTAAAAAAGGCATATTCAATGGGTTGTTGTAAAGCAAAGCTTAACTTTAGCCGTAAAAAAAATCAACAATCATTGTTTTAGAACACACATTGATTCAGTTGTAAATATATAGCTTTTGTTGCAGTATACATATATATGCATGCATGCATTCTCTCAAGTTTTGGCACCATGCTATATCTGTATCAGGCACGAGGTGAGGTGGCAGCTGGCTGAATGACCAGAATGACCTGTTATACCCAATCTTTGTACATCTGGCTAAAAGTGTTGCTTATAAAATTGAAGCTATCTAGTAAGGAGACATTGTCGTAAGAAGCAGCGCCTCTAAAGACTATAACAAAGCTAAAGAGGAAGACTGGAACAAATATAAGAAATTAGGGAAACACATCAATTCTTGGTTGATAACTCTATGACTATAACTTGAAGGTATGAATTGACGTTTAAAGCACATTCAAAACGCGAGACACATACGGTGACAGGCGTTCGGCACGGCAGACTTAAGATTAAGGATACCATCTTGACCTCACTCAAGTACCTACATGCAGTTTCGAGCAGCCAGGTCCCTGTGAACAATGTCATGGTCTGTCAGATACGCCATGCCTTGGGCGATTTGTTGACAAAGTCGGAGATTCTCCGCCAATGGTAATGTCTGTGGACAGATGAAATGTGATTATATATGTGCCTGTATGCGTGCTTGCATACTTAACCAAATGCTTAATCACGCAAAAATAATGATAGATACATTACATATATCTTACATAGCTTATCTTTGGGAGCAAATTTTGATTATCACGAAAAGCTCTGTAACGAGAAGATAATTCAAACAGAACGTACTGTCAAGAGAACGCACAAACATTGCGGTCAAGGATGGTTTCTACTGAATTCATTTCTAGCATGAGTCACTTTCAAAGCATTGCTTCCTGTCTATGGTTCTCTAAAGACAAAGAATCGAAAGTGAAAGAGGATTTAGTTAGTGAAATCAAGACAATAGAAAATGAAAGAGGTTTGAAGAGTTTCACCTGTTTGTTCTTCAGGTATTTACGTAGATCCCCATTCTTCATGTACGGCAGGACGATCATTGCTTCGTTGCCATGGACACAGACGCCGATCAGCTTCAAGACGTTTTCATGGTCGAAGTTGATCATGCGTAGTCCCTCCCGTAGGAGTGACTCCATAGCAGTGTAAGGGGCTGTGTCTGGAGGTACAAAAAGAGTACCACCTTTAGTATTCCTTCACCAAATTTGAGATAGATAGATCAATAGATAGAAAACTACTATAAGACTACTACTATAAAAGACTATAGATTTAACAAAGATTTATCATTTATACCATAAAATGAAATGGAATACAAAAACAGGAACAACTGCAAAACTGATGTTATCGTTGCCAGATTAAGATTAAGGTGATATTCATAACTAATTATTATCTACTTCAACAAAGAATGCTAATAGGTTTAAAGGTAACTTACCAAACAAAGTTTTGGCCGCGCAGGGCTCGCATTTGTTGTCTCGAAGGCAGGTAGCGCGTCGTACTTCGCCAAAATATCCTAGAAAAGAAAGGGCATAAGAATCCTACCGTCCGTTCAGATTTTCCGACAACCTTACTTACTACTTTCTTTAGCAACGTTAGTGCATATGTCAAGCAGTTACTGTGCCGTACTGTACTTTTCGCTGCGTTATCACTAGCCAGCCGTCAGCCAATCAGATACCCTCCCATCTGTTGTTGGACGGAAGGTCACCAGCCAATCACGTTGCATCTTGACCGTAGATGTAGACGTGGTTGGCTGATAGCTTCTCCTCCAACAACGCGTTAGCACTAGCCAGCCGTCAACCAATCAGATACCCTCTCATCTGCTGTTGAACGGACGGTCACCAGCCAATCACGCTGCATCTTGACCGTAGATGTCGACGTGGTTGGCTTCCCCTCCAACAACGTACAGTAGTGGAGTATCTTATTGGCTGACGGCTAGCCAGTGTTGAGATGCAGAAAGGGCGGGTTGCAGGCCGGTACGCAAGCGCCGTTGCTTGACTGCCAAGCGTACGTTGGGCCTGGTCAAGAGAAAATGAAAAAGACACCTACCCTTCCCCAGAGATTCTTGCAAAGTGATCATATTCTTTGGGATGAGGACTTCGTGGATCTGGGATCGCTCGTCGGGACTGAGTGACACCATCAGAGGACTGGGAACCTCATAGCCGCCAACTGCATGCAAAACAGGTACAAGGGGATGATACCTTTAACCAATCATAAACTGCATAAATGTATACACAAGTATAAGACCTTACCGTTGCATGAATATGAATATATAATATCATACTGATATTTACTGTATTTTATTTTGTTTTATTCATCTGCACTCATAAGTACATTACAAAATTAACAAAAACGACAGAAAAACGTGCTGGAGGGGGCGGGGGGTAGACATGAAGTCAATATATGTCATAATAAGTCATAACAATGAAACAATGATCAAATAATAACTGATAAAATATAAATTGTATGTTGATATAAATATAGTATATTATTATCATGATGAATGTAATATCAATCCACCTCATAACGACGATCAATATGAGTTATAAATATGAACATATTTTAGAAGCAACTATAACATTCAACATTAGTTCAATGACAATATATATTGCATACAGGAAATCATCTAGAAAGGACCCTTTTTAAAGAAATCTACATTTTGAAAACTGGCTTTTCTTTTACCCCAATAATAAATCGTCAAACGCGAATTAAAGATGTATGCACGTGTAGTGACCCACTTGTAGTGACGGTCAGGGTGGTGCCGGCACTGGTCACATCGCCCCGCTTGCCGACGACGGTGACGTTGTATGACGTCCCTTGATTTAAGTCGGTGAAATCAGCATGTAGAGGTTCCGATGGGAGTAGTGAGCGTGTTTCGATGATCTAAAATTATAAAATAATGGCTATCTGTACCAGTTTCTTTTGTCTGACTGTACTAGATAGTTTTTGGCACCGAGGGGTGTAGGTTGCTCTGGAACTGAAGGAGTATTTTAGTTGTAATTCTTTAAAAGAAAAAAGGAATGGTGGATAGATTCACATGGTTTGGGACATGTAGGAAGCTAACTTTACCTGTGGTTCTTCAACATCAAAAGCCAGAGTGACGACGTACTTGTCCACGTCACCGAAGACTTGAACGTTGGTGTAGGCTGGCTTGAACTCGATACTGAATGTTGAGTCCGTGGTGTTTGTAACAGTCACGGACTTAGCATCCGGAAGAACTGTGTAAATGGAAAGAGTGAAATAATCTCTTTCCGTTTATAATAGAGTCATTCCATCAATTTGCGATTATGAGTTGATTCTGAGATATTAATGTATATTACGTGATATTAGCTTACAATACAAAGTAAAGGAATGTTATGAAAAATAATGAAGTATATTACACGACAAAGTACTATAAAAACTAAGAATTTTTCTCATTAATGAGAACTACAACTTCTATTGCTCCTCGGATAATTTCATATTGTATAGAAATACGTTTTCATATGATGAGGATGAATTGATAGAATTAATCAAACATATTGTTTCAGATTAAGAAATTCTACACACCAAAAACATGTCCTTCTGTGCCTTTTCTGGTAATTTTTAACAACGATGCTTGCCTGCAAATATATCAGTATATGTCTTCCCTAATAATACAGCTACAGATATAACATAAGCCCTTCTCATTTTCTTAGTTGGCACAGAAAGTGGGTATAGAGAAACCTGACCTTTTCCTTCTAGCAGATCAGCCAGTCCTTGTTGTTTTGAATGCCGCAGGGCCTCGCTGAGCACCCGGGCCGAATTCTCCTTTTCCAGCACGCAGATCGTTTCCAGTAGAGTCTTTACTACGGAGAAGGCCTGGCGGATTCCGGCGACATCGTCGGCCTTCAGGATCTAAAATATTTCATAGAACACAGGAAACGTCAGTAAATGCACTGCAGGGAGAAGGAATATAGTGAACGTAACAGTTTCCACAAAAAATGTTAACACAATTATATGTATAGTAGCACGGATTTTGGCTGTCCCATTTGTAAAGGAGAAGTGGCAATGGACGGATGTAAAAATAGAAATTAAGATACCTGCTTCTCCTGTAGAAAGACGAGGACACCGTTTGCGTCCATTTCCATCAGGCGATCCCAGAATTCTTGCACTACTGGATCAGCCATCTTTTCTTCCGATGTCGCACTGGAAAGAACTGATAAAAGATTACGTTGTTACATTCCTTCTTTTTTTTCCTTATTGGCAGTGACAACGGATCAATACACAGGTTATCAAGGCAGTGGTGACTGGTATCAGATAACCCACAAATACAAAACGTGGAGACAAACGTCAAATAAAGAAATCTACTATAAATATAAGACCTGAAATAAAGATAACATATTGTAACTGGTTACAAAGTACATGTACAGTACTATAATACATAATACAAGAAAAATCAAGACATTCCTACCTAGCAGCAATATGTGCAAAAAGTGTAGATACTAATTGGAATGGATGGAAGTGTTTGGGTCATTGACATTATGATCATTGCTGAGACAAAATGTCAATCAAAATAATGACTTAAAAAAAATTCCTTATACAAAGATACTTACGCGCGACTGTGTGACTTGGACTCTGGTATTCTGGAAGATAATCATCCGTAGCTGTAAAAACGTTCTCCCATTGGTCAATGCCATGGTCGTTTTTCTTTAGCTTTGCCTTCCGAAGCCATAGAAAGATGACACACGACAAGGAAACTGCAAAAGCGACCGACATGGATGATGGTATAATCCATCGCGGAGTGATCCTGGGCCTGCTGGTGGTGACGTATGCCTGGCGTGGTTCGGCTGTAAATAAGTCAAACACGTTTTAGTTTTCGCCCAACATATCTCAGTGCACTGCTTCTCCGGAAAGTGGATAGTAGAGTGGAAATCCCGTCACTTCGTCGGTCGGTGCCTATAAAGCTGCTAAAAGTGTCACAGGGAAAACAAAGAACCAAATATACTACATTACATCTGTCATCCACCCTGATATTGCAATTTCAACAATAATTTCAGATAAACTCTTAAAAACCTTTGTTGGATTATGCTGGCAATCTGAAAGCAAGACAACCAACGATGAGTTTCTTCTGGCAGGAATCACGAAGAACGATATAAGATAGGATAAAGCTGTTGATACTATATAGCTTGTCATGTTTGTTCGGAGTCAGATGAGAAAGGAAATCTTGGGCCTTGGCTGCTGGCTGTTAAGATGGAAAAAAGATCGCACAATGTTGTAGGTAGTAGTTTGTCCCACCTGTAACATTTAACATGATCAGCGCAGATCCATTTGGTGCCACGCCATTGTCAGTGATACAACGATAGACGCCGGCGTCTCTTGGTTGCACGCTAGGGATGATTAGGATGCCCGTCTGTTCGTCTGCTATTGCCGATGAGGGCAGGCCACGTGCCACGTTGTCATCGTACCTTTCCCAGTAAAACGTCGGGCTCGGTAAGGCATCGCTGACGCGGCATGTGAGTGTCACTGCGTCTCCCTTGGTAATATTACCTCGGCTTGGATGGACGATATAAGCAGTTGTTGTCGTCGGAGGATCTGAAGAAGATTATTTCATCTTTTGGTGGAGCGGGCGATTCGGTCCCGTCAAACACGCACAAGGTAATGCAGTAATACACATCTCTGGAGTACCTTTTTTTCTTTGTTGATACCCAGTACACCTCTGTGTCTGTCAAGCGTCCGCCCATGACAGCAAAGTCAACACAATAGACAAGGGGACAGGCTCATCATATTACAGTTCTGTTTCTGCTATTAGTTGAAATATTGCACCGGCCGCATTGCACATAAACAGAAGTACAATTCATTCAAATGTTTTGACTTGAAACAATAACATATAAAGATAAGATAAAAATAACAATATATATAAAAACATAATATATCTACGACGATTCAATCATAAAAGCTAAAAGTATATAAAAGTTTTAGTAAAAATTGAAAAATACATATATTGCGACTTCAGCAAATGGTGATAAGAAAAGCATCAATGATCTGCTAAAATTTTCTTTATAAAAATATAATGCTCGTATAAGGCTACAGCAAGAAAATTTTATAGGTGACATTCTCCGCAGACTCTAATTTAATGCGATAGGGCATAAAAAGGCGGGCCAAGAACAATATTCATACATTTTCAAATTTTGACATCAGAAACCTTGTTCAACAAGGAACGATATCTATATTGTGCTAAGTTTACATCCTTTTCTCACTGAAACAGCTTTGAAAAATAAAAGTTTTCAATTATTCTACAAATGGTTTTTATTTAGTGGGCACATCACAAAAAACAGTTACCATCACATATAAAAGGAATGAAATACATCAAAGTAAAAGACAAAACATTAAATCGGAGCTTTGCCTTTCTCAGGCTAAAATTAATGCGCGCCCTGATGTCATCAATAAAGGAATTAATTGCTGTGACCTTAGTGAGCGTTACTTATATTGAAATGATTGTGTTGCTTCAGAGAATGTTGGAGTGAATCGTGTAGTATTAATAAATGTTACTTACACTGAATCGTGATATTCACGTGCCATCTTCCATCCGGCAGGAGTCCGTTGTGCGCACGGCATTGGTAGGTCCCAGTGTCGTTCCTCTGTACACCGTAGATGGTGAGGACACCCGACGTTGTGTTAACCTCTGCGAACGGTGGGAATTCGCGATCGTTGTCAAGTCTCGTCCAGGAAAAGCTTGACGTTGGGTTGGAGTCCGTGGCACACCTCAACCGCAGAGTATCCCCTCGTTTCACCGACAGGCGTTTGACGGTCGGCCCGCCGCTGTGAGATATAGATACCGCTGTATTTGTCGGTGGATCTGTCGAAAGATAACAATAACAAATAAAAATAATAATAAGTAAGTATATAACAACGAACAATTACATCCTTCAATACATTAAGTTGCCATGGTGTTTGATTTCATCGATGGATATAATCTCCTTCTTGATTTATAAATAGAAAAAAAGTGTTACATCAACACTTTGGATGCGCGTTCACAATGGCATACATGCAAATATCGTGATAGGTAACCATATTGGTCACTGGTGAAGCACTATATCATGTATCAGAACATTCTCTTCAGAATTTTAAACTCCATGAAAAATGGAGGCAAATATATAACTTTTCATGTCAGGAATAAGTGGTGTGGGTTTCAATACGTAATATTACTACATATGTATATGCTAAGAACCATCTCATCTGCGGTCTGGTATCAGCAATACTTACATTGTACATCCAGTGTGATCTCAGTGCTTACTGGACGTTTGCGATGAATGTACACATAAAGCAGATACATTCCTGCGTCCAGCTTGGTGACATTGAGAAGGCGCAGGCCAACATGTCCAGCAGCTTCAGTACGGTCTTTGTACGAGTCCACGTCTGTTACCTCTCTCTCTGGGAGCTGGACGGTCAGGATGTGGATGTCATCGCTGCCCTTCTTTTTCAACCACACGTACTGGTATGGCACCCCGTCAGTACTCTCAAGCCTCCAGTCAAAGAAAGCGTCTTCGCCTCTCGTGACCGTCAGTGAGTTGTTCCCAACCAGCGTAGCGCCTGGAAAAGTACATGTTGTAGGTTCAGAAGTGAATTCGAACGACTTCATAATCATAATCAAAGTCTATAAGTGTATCATACACTACAGGCCCATGTGCCGGCTACGCAAAATGACATTTATCTATACTTCATAGTCCGGAGTTTTAAGTATAGATCTAGTACTTCTGCCTACAGAGTTCTTTCGTTTTAATAGTATCCTTACCTGCACTGACGCTACCCAATGAAGTAACGATGATTTTCAAAACAAATATGATGCACAACATTTTATCTGGCACATACTAGTATCCAATCAAGCTGAATTTAGTAAGTAGTGTATGTATTTAGATGCTCTCATAAATTTGTGAGAATCAAGTCACTATGCGTACTCTCCAATTGAGCTCAGTAGGTACGTAGTAACTAGTAATATACTATACATATACCTATGCCGTCGCTTGTCCGAAACAGGAAGCTCTGGCCGTTTACTTTTAACAAAAGATGTCATTGTGAGAAAGGTCAGGCTTATAACAAAAGCGTTCATTATGTAAGGGAAGGGTCACTCAAAAGTGGAAGTGGTTTCATTTTCGGTGGTTGACGTAATGCTCATGTTCAAACCCTAATCAGGTCTTCACTAGGGTGGGTGCTGCTGGAGAATCAAATGCCAATGATTGGCGGCACCACAGTTGATTAAATCAATTATTCACGCCCCGGTTTCCCAAGTATAGTGATCGATATCCACTATTTTTCTAGCCTAGACTCCAAACTTATTAACTTAAGTCCGCCCGGAGTAGCCTCTACCAGGCTTCTGGGGCTAGAAAGAGTAGAAATTGTCCAACTAGAGAGAGCTAACAACGCACCAGGAGGGGACCTCTCGGTATTCGAGAGAGTGCAGTTTGCAGGCGACTCCATATCATTAGATTTAACAACTTCATCAAAGGTACAACGAGACATGTATCTGTAGCTGGATCGGGAGTTCTGCTGCAGTACCAAGGAACTTCGTCAGACCACAATCTAACAATTTCCTCCATAGGTCAAGTACTTGAGTTCGTACCAAATTTCACAGCAATCCATCCATAGCTTCTCGAGTTATCAAACACTAGCCCAAATACTACCAAAAATGTACTGTCCTTGGCGAAAGTGAAAATGAAAGCAACGATACAATGTTTCTAACTTTAGAATACAAAGTACCTGGCTCTAATACTTGACATGGGGTTCTGTGTTCTACGTAAAGAGTCGTTGTTCATTCTAGAATAATCTAACTCTCTCTTGTACTCACCAGATGAGCTGAACAACGTCAAAACAGCCAACGTTCGCTCAATGTACACCCGGACCATGTCCAGGCACCGGTGTTTAATTTGGGCTCGGCCGAAGTAGACAGGTCAACTTGGCAAGATCCTACTGTACGTCTGGTCATAGAGAGATAACGACACACACTTCGAATGTTTAACATTGAAGTCAAACTTGGGTGCTCCTAACGCGGAGGATACGATGGTTGTAGTACCGGTTTGTACCATCGCGTTCAACGACAGTTATGCCCCAAACAAAAGCAATTATAGTATGAAGTTATTTGAAACCGTACGAAACTTTCCGCGAGGTGAAAAAGTAGTTCGTAGTCAGCTGTCGATTACCAACGTTCAAGTATACACACAGACAGTAGATAGGTTGTTTTAATATTTACAAAATCTCCTCTTTTTTAGCTATTGAAAAAAAAAACTCAGCGGATATATAAACTTCCCTGCTTCCACGGTACTGTAACCCAAAACCTCCCTTCTAACGGGACAGAACACACTGACCGTATCGTAGACCCTCTAAAAGAAAGAATGAGTCAGAAACGTTCTGTAAGAACTTTGGAAAGTCCAGGACTACATACACATAACATTTGTGATTTGGTTTAGTGCTCATTTTGAGCATCCTATCACGTATACGTGAACATATGATTTGGTTGAAAAGTTTGTTGTGTCCTCGCTAAAACTGCATTCGTGTATTCACCTCACCTGACCTGAGTGACCTTGTGAACTCTCTGATTGAAAGGTGTTGGGCCATGGGTAAACATGGCGACCATGTTCGAACGTTCTGTGTGAATTGTTCAAAAGGGTTACCGCCATTGTAAAGTAACACGATAGTGGGTTTCTCTCGCGGGCCGGCATGAATGGTCGCGGCTGAAATGATCTGTACGGCCTATCGGGTGACTTACAGTGGTATTGTGGCATGTGTGTGTTGTTTGTTATACATAGCGGTCCATCGTCAGTGACGGACGAATCACGGCGAACGTTCATAAGTATCATAGCGCTGGCACACAGAAAACGTCAACGCAGCCTTTACCACTACACGTATAGATACTAGTAGTGTTGACGATTTTGAGTTTTCAATACTGCGACACTATTTGCCTGTTTTCAATACGTACAAATTTACAGTCACGGTAATGTTACTACTTGGAGTCATGTTACTAACATCATACGGTAATGTTACTAACATCATACGTCTGCTTGGAGAAAAGGGATGATCTACACACAATTAAACGAGGTCAGCCGAAGTCATTGATCTCCTAGCCTGGATGCCAGGCCCAGTCTAGGCCCGGCTGAGGGGGGCTGTGGTTTGATTTCCTTGAGGGCGTGCTGGTCCTGGAGCCGAGGAACGGGCCTGGGTTGGCCCTGGAGGCAGTCTGGCACCCAGGCTACTGATCTTCAAGAACGCTAGCCTAGTAACCATTCAGATTCAGCTGCAGTACCAAGGTCAGCCACCAGGAAGTCCGAATTCGACCTTGACCTTAAGCTTCGTCTACCTGAGATCTTCCGACATACCAAGTATCATCACAATTTATAAAGGCCTTCTTAAGTTAGGCTGATCACAAGTATGCGGAAACATAGTCAGACACGCACACAGACACATGCATATTCACAGATACACACAGACAGGCCCCAAAACAATGCATTTTCATGTAGGTAACATCATATTTTCATAATTTTGGTACGTCGCCTGAGGATAAATACGCACTCTGGATTTATGACAGCTAAACAGCACATTTGTGTGTTCTTCAATGTTAGATACACAAATATATATATGGCAATGATGGATATTACTACATTTAAAACAAATAAAATATATCGGCAAGGTAATACCATGGAGCTCTCTTTTCTAGCTACATGGTAATACTTAACATTAAATGCTTCATGTTCACGTTTTTAAACGAATCGAAAATAATCATACTTCACAATCATATTCAGATATCTTATAAACGTTTTCTATGCAGCTTTTGAATCATTTATGGACATAAAAAGTTAATAATTAAAGTGGCAATATCAATGTCTATAGGTCTCTTCAATCATCTGTTTAGTAACTGAGCATAATAAGAGGCGGCCTTTCTGTGATCACCAAGGATTCTCCAGGCAACATACAGATTGTGAAGTGATCTTGCGATATCAGGATGTGCGATGCCATAGATACTCCGCTTCATCTCTAGTGCCTGTTCATAATAGGTGATGGCCTTTCTGTAATCACCAAGGTCACTCCAGGCGGCACCCAAGTTGTTAAGTGACGAGGCGATATTAGGATGTGCGTTGCCTTCACCATAGATACTCCACCTCATCTCTAGTGCCTGTTCATAATATCTGACGGCCTTTCTGTAATCGCCAAGATGCCTCCAGGCCTCACCCAAGTTGTTAAGTGACGAGGCGATGTCAGGATGTGCGTTGCCCTCACCATAGATACTCCGCATCATCTCTAGTGCCTGTTCATAATAGCTGATGGCCTTACTTTGATCACCAAGGTGACTCCAGGCGGCACCCAAGTTGTTAAGTGACGAGGCGATATCAGGATGTGCGTTGCTCTCACAATAGATACTCCGCATCATCTCTAGTGCCTGTTCATGATAGCTGACGGCCTTTCTGTAATCACCAAGGTCACTCCAGGCGGTACCCAAGTTGTTAAGTGACCCGGCTATATCAGGATGTACGTTGTCCTTACCATGAATACTCCGTTTCATTTGCTGTGACTGTTCATAATAGCCGATTGCCTTTATTTGATCACCAAGGTGACTCCAGGCGGTACCCAAGTTGTTAAGTGACAAGGCGATGTCAAGATGCGCATTACCCTCACCATGAATACTCCGCTCCATCTGCAATGCCTGTTCAAAATAGCGAACGGCCTTTCTGTTATCACCAAGAACACTCCAGGCCAGACCCAAGTTGTTAAGTGACAAGACGACATCAGGATGTGCCTTGCCCTCTCCAAAAATATTCCGCCCCATCTGTAATGACTGTTGATGATAGCTGACGGCTTTTCTGTTATCACCAAGGTTACCCCAGGCCAGACCCAACTTACTAAGCAACCCAGCAATAAAAGGATGAATCGCACCCGTTCCGTGTGTTGATAGCTCTGCTTCAAGTGCCCGCTCAATGCATGCCTTTGATTGGTTGTAGTCACACAGACTTTCGTAAACATCTGCTTGCAGCATTAAAGAGTTGTCAAATAGAGTCGAGGGCTCTTCTACTGGTTGACCGTTGCTAATTTGCTGAACAAAGTACTTCAAAGGTGTTGCCGTGTAGTAGTATCTCATGAGCTGTTTTACATTGGAGAAGTGAAAAATTCTCTTTGTTTTTTCCTCAATGTCAGCATTGACTGACAGTGACGACAAGACTGATAGGTTTTCCACCTGACCACGATTGTTCATGTAAGTTCGCAACCTCAGTTCTGCTGAGATGCTGACCAGAACCATTAAGTGATGTGCGTTCTTATCACTAATGGCATCCTTCTTGTACATAGTCTGTATAGTCTCCCAGATTGTTTTCGGCTGTATGTCACAGAGCAGTGCCCAACAAGATACAGCAAGGCTTGAAAAGCGATAAACTTCTTTCTTTACATTCAGCATTCGGGAAGTCGGATTCTGCATTTCAAAAGTCTTGGTATTTTCCATCAACATAGTGTTTGCTAGTAATCTGGCAATTTCACTTCCATTTTTCTTCAGTTGTTGATTCCATGCAACGGTGTATTTGTCGACCAAGCCTTGTTCTCCAGTAATTAATGATACACTTCCCAACACACTCGCTAGGTGGTAGCCTTTCTTAAGATGTAGCTTAACGTCATCTTCAAGAAATTTGGCCATGTGGCTTGGTGTGCGAATAAGAAGGCATGTTTTACCTCTCCCTAGTGGAGTTTTACATGCATGTGGCATGGCTCCATCGAAAGAAAAACCACGTGGCGTTACAGAGTCATAGAACCAGTCGTCAAGCTTGTTCTTTGACTCGAAGTCATTGAGAGACTTGATCGCCATGGCAGGGAGAATGGTTTCCCCAAGATTGATCACTTTGAGATGAAGGTAATGTGTGAGGTTTTGAAAGTATTTTAGACTGTTTTCTGTTTCCTCCTCTATCAAAATTGCAAACTCCAGATCGGAGTATGGCGTTACTAACCCTGTGGCCTGTGAACCCAGTCCTATCATGGCGTACTTGCAGGGAGGGGGGCCCATAACCTCCATACACTCATCTACAAGGCCAGCTATGAATGTTCTTCGCTGATGAATAATAGTGTCAAGCAATGCTTTGTTTGCTTCCACTCTCTTCTTTTCTACTTCCATGATCTCTGGGTCGTTGTCATCTAGGCTGTAAGGATCTATCTGCTGCTCAATTCTTTTGATTTCTTCTTCCACATAGCAGCGGCATTCTGTTAACACCGATTTGTGTTTCTCTACGTCATCCGTGGGTACCGTTTGTTCGATACTCAGGACGTGCTGAACAAATGATTGGGATATTTCCTGGGTTGAGTGTTTGATGACTTCTCTGTCTTCTGTCTTTGCTCTCACCAGTGCTGCGTTACTGAGTGCTGCAGCCTTGGTAAAATCACCTCCGTCTTTTGACTGCTTGCCTCTCTTCAGGTAGACATCGCTCAACTTGCAAATGGGCTCTGTCTCTTTCCAGCGCTGTCCTGCAATATTGGAACATTTTAAACGATCATTGCAAGTTGTCTATGTCTTAGCCCCAAGAGTTTTTTTAAATGTCAATGTGTGGTACACAAATACACACACTTCTGTATCTTTTTTTATATTGACTTCACCAACTTTGCTGTAATAACACTTGGCTGTCTTTATTTGACAGGTACACGGAATCACTCACCTTTCCCATGAACGGCCTTGAGCGCTGCTGCAAAGTTACGTTCTGCCGTGTCCAGGTCCCCTGTCTGCAGGGCCCTGCAGCCCTCCTGTAGCTGGTCTTGGTACGTTCTATAGAAAGGTAGCGATCATTGTTAATACAGGGATACTGTAACTTTAGCCCATACAGGACGTGACACTTAAAATGTATTGTGAATAGGTTGAGCATATATCTAACTTTGTCGGTACATAATAAAAAGGACAGCAAACAAGCCTTTGCTGCAAACAAACCAAACCTTTGCATTTTTTGTGTTGGACCAAAAGTTTTAACTTTAAACATGTAACTACCAACACAGATGAACTTTCGTGATAGCAAACAAACCTGACTGTGCCCTCCTCTTCCACTTTGCTGCTGTTTCCAACTTTGTTGTTTCTGGTCCGTCCCGTTTCTCGGTTTTTCTTTGGAAAGGAGATAACATGAAGATGTAAACGTAGCTTAGAGTTGTAAACAATAACCTAGTAGCATGTAACGAAAAGTAGGATTTCAAATAGTTAATTAAATATATACTGAACATGCATTTTGGAAAGGATATCGGTTTTAGATTATTATTTTATTTATCAGTCGCATATCTGTGCAACACGTCAAAAACGTCTTATATACGTAGGAAAGTAGGATTTCAAATAGTTAATTAGATATATACTGAACATGCATTTTGAAAAGGATATCGGTTTGAGATTGTTATTTTATCAGTCGCATATCTGTGCAACATGTCAAAAACGTCTTATATACGTAAAAGCAAATCTTATAAGATTAAAAAGGATTGGCATTTCTAACCTTGCGTTCTTTATCCTTGACTCTCTCCGCGTACTTGATGCGGTGTCTTAGCGTTTCTCTGCCGTCTGAATCTTCACAGCGGTCCAGCGCCGCTCGGTACAGACCAGCTGATTTACTGAACGCTGTCTCGTCCTTACCAACCCTTCCCTTCTCTAGGTACACATCTCCCAGGCTCTTCAAGGATTCTATTTCCAAACGTTTGTTTCCTTCCACGATTGCTTTCACTAACGAATTTGTATAACCTTCAATCAAGGGCATCGTACCATGTCTTTTCAACTTGGACTTCTTTTTCACTTCGTGAAGGGTTGTGGACACATCCAATATGGTATTACCTGTATTCGTACCACACGCTTTTAGAACCTCTTGATCATGGACCAGTTTCGTGCATTTCTCCGCATATCTGATGCGATGCTGTACAACTTGCTTCTCATCAGTACTAGTGTAATATCGTAAGAGTTCTGTGTACAACGAGCAGGCCTTGTGGAAGTTCTCTGCTTTATGCTTCTTCATCTTTGCTTTGTGCAGGTACAAGTCTCCAAGACCTTTCAAGGCTTCACACTCCAAAACCTGATTTTGAGTACTTATAGCGTGAACCAACTTCCGTGCGTAACCCCTCTCTGCAACATCCAGATCAGAACCGCGTTTAAATTTCAAATCCAGTTCCCGAAATTCGCCCACCACTGTAGACAGCTCGGTGTGTGACATATTTGTTCCTCCTGATATGGTTTTCTTTGCTTATATAATCAGAATCTGCTGTTGGATCTTCCCTGTGCACCAAATACGATATAGAAGGTTTTATACGCGTCTTCACATTATCTTATTTAGTTCTTTAATATCCTGATGAACACGCATTTTTGTCGACCGCACTCTGGTTCATTGACCTGAGGAAGAATAAACATTGTACCAATTATGTACAGATGGTGGACCGAGTGCATGTCTTTAAAAACGCCTGATAAAATTCTAACTGGCAGCCGATGGGTTTTATTTTTCATTGTGGCTCCGCTATCAAATCTTCACATTTACGAAAATCCCTTTATTCCTTCTTCCGTTGTCCTGGTTCAAAGTTACGGCTGTACGTAAACTCACTTGTAGTTTCCAAGAAATCTCGGAGGTCCAAACTTATACTGTGTTATTCCCAGTACACACGCGATCAAACGCTAATATTTACAGGGTCAACCTCTTATTAGGTAAACAGTAATGTGACACTCATCCGCCATTGACTGGTCAGGTGCTAATGTTGTTCGTCATGCATCCTGATACTTCAAACACAATCTGTTGTCATCTGTTGCCACAACAGCAGACTATTCAAAAAAGACCTGATTTCTGTGCCTATAACCTGTCACTCGAAGCCATGAAGTTGTACGAGTTTCCTAGATCAGGACACATACAGCCCTGCCCACCTGTTAAGTTTCGTAAATATCTACGTTTTCCACTGCGTATAAGAGTGAAGAATGGCGGTGTTGTGTGTGCAAGCTATGTATATAGAGTGCCATAAACATACCATAACGTTAGAAGTAAAACTACTCGTATCAGTATAAGGTCACGACTGTAGTTGACACATTCCCAGGTGCACCGAAAACATTTAGTACTCTTGTTAATGATTCATTGAGAAAAGGGTGGAGTAAGCAAATGTGAATTTTTTTTAATTTTTGGGAGGGGAGGGGGGCAGGCTAGTAAATATCTAGCAGTTCACATTCTTGTTACAAAGCCCCAATCCCCACCAGCTATAGGTTCACACTGCGTGTAAAGTGTTCGGTTGTGTCAGCTGTAATGTTAATGATAAATGTCTGTGGCCTTATCTATGTAGTAAAAACTCACCTTTTACTTCCATCTAGAGATAAAACTGTTGGTCTGTCTCAGCTCACGACTGGCACCAGCGGAAGCGGAAGTTCCCGACAGCGGAAATCCCCGGCGTGATTCACCTTTACGGAAGGGGGATTCCCCTGGGAATGTTCCATTAACCGACAGGGGTGGGAAAAGGATCCGTATTTACCTGTCCATGTTATGTAGGGGTGTTTAGGAAGGGGGGGGGGGTAATTCTTGACTGTTTCGTTCCCAAAATGGTACGAATAAGAAAGGTAAAACTTAACTTTTTGGGTAGATTTTTAGTTGATATGATTTATGTTTTTGTCCCATAACAAGGTGTGAAACCTACGCGTACTATGCAAGTATAAACTCACCTGTCGTACTATGCACCACCCCTATTTCTATCTTTTTCTACTTCAAAGTGAAAGAATAAAATGAAACTTTCCACCCATTTAATAGCATTCTATTAAATGACTACATTTCAACTTTGATTTTTTTTCTCTTGCTCAAATGTGGTTTGCCTTTTAAGAAATGCACATTTCCCTTTCCTCGAGCACTTTGAATTGAATTGAAGTTATTTGTTAAAAAGTCTTCCTTATTTCTGAGAGCTACAATGGACACAAAGTGCTTTGACAAGTTCAACTTTGCATTGTGGTTATGTGAAGTAACCTTTAATATAAGTCTTATAAGACATTTCTTCATTGGTCCCAATCATTGTTGTGCCCATGCCTAAATTATTAAATGCATAATTCGGCTATGAGTTAGATCTAGAGCACATCTCAATTCATACATGTAGGATGGCAAGCTTTACAATTTACTACATACTAGTCAAGCCCTCTGAATATATCATCTATTTCATCTGTGTCATTTAAACTGCATGACGTCTTTAACAATACATCATCTTTGACAAGTACGTTGGCCCCTGACTTCTTTTTCTTTTTAACTCTACCCTTCTCAGCACTTTTCTTCTTTTTCTTTACCGTAGCATCTTGTTTCTTGTCTGATACATGTAGTAACTTGCTACTCACTTGCTTGGATTTCTTGCGTACAACAGGGGGCATACTTACATTATCTAGGCTCAATATTGTAGATGTGCTCTTTGCACTTTCAGTGCCTGTATCAAAAGTAGTATCTTGTCTTTTCTTCACCAGACTTTTAAAATCTGCTGGTTTAAGATTCCTAACTTCTTTTTTAGACCCTTGTATTAGAGTACTTTGTTCCAATTTCCCCATGGTTTGGGCAAGTCGGAGCAGTTTAGATTTCATGAGCTTCAAGTCAAACTTCACCTTCATATTCCCTTTGCTCTCCATCTTAGCACACCTCTTAATTTTTGAAGCCAGTTTTTGCAGCTTCGCTTCTGCTGCACCTTCTTGGACTTTCTCACCGATCGACTGACAGCACTTGTACAACTCCTCAAATGTACTACTAGCATTCACCATAAATTCTTGTTCTTTTCCTGTACTTGCTGCACTGGGATTTTCCACAACTATATCCAAATGTTTTCCCTTGCATGTTTCTGTCCTAAAATCATCTTCCTTGTTCAGTGGTTTGCGAGAATCTTCTTGGTCATCTTTTGTAACTTTGGCTTTTGTCTTCTTTTTCCTTTTCTTCTTACTTGGAGTATCATCTTCCATAGGTAAGTGCAGTGTTCTTTCCTTCCGAGTATCTTCAACTTCTTCCGTTGACTGTGACTTACTCTCCTCACATTGTGTCTCTTGAATATAGCCGCTTTTTGCTTTCCTTTTCTTTCCTTTTGCAGGATTTTGTACAGTTTCTTTTGTTTCATCTTCTTTTGTGGCTCTGTCCTTTTTTCTTCTCTTTGCAGGGTGGGTAATATCTTCCAGGTTTTCCCCTTCTGCCTGCTTCTTTGTTTGTTGCCTCTTTCTTTTACTTGCAGACTTGGTACTTTCTGCATTTAAGTCACCCTCCCCTCTGTCCTCTCCAAAGGTTAGTTTTGTGGGTTGGACTACGTTTTCCTGACAAAACAACAGCAGAAACTGTAAAATACTAGATATAATACATTGATTAGATTAAGATATGAAAAGGCTTTGACACATGATGACACATCTACTCAATTTCAATACATTCCACATTCATAGATATCAAAGAGGAGGATACATATAAAGTTGTAGAATACACAACACGGTGTATGATTTCCATATCACCTGAGATGCCAGCCGCATGTCCGATCACTCGACACCCCCCCCCAAAAAAACATGTTTCATTGCAAAATATGCTACAAGATGAAAAAACAGGTGTCCCAAAATAAATAATCTAAATGACATTGATTTCAATCTGGTATTAAGAATTTCAAAAGAGGCAAACTCGATGAACCCGGTCGATTTATCTTATAGAAATTTTGGAGGCCCGTGTTTTAACTGTTAGAAGCCTGCAGCTGTGTGATAACTTGTGTCCCAAACACCCATTGGCTACATGATTAAGCTAAACTAAATGATTAAGCTCTTCTTTCAGGTTGATTTGGTTTGTCCTTGTGTTCCTAATTCGATCATATATTTCTGTTACGTAGTACCGGTGATAGCTTAAACACCTTGAATTGATAGAATGGAGTAGCCCTTACCTGCACATGGCTGGACAGTCTATTCCTGATACTGGAAATGTCCGACCAAACAGGCTCTAGTGGAGAAACAAGACACATCTATATTACAACATGTGCATCACTGAACATCCCAGATAGTTACAATGTAAAAAAAAAACATCATGTAGCTTCTTCATCAAGATATTTCAAGTTAAAAGGGCACACCAGTTTATTCACCCGCTTTATCATTTTCTGATTTGCCAAAAAAATCAAGGTTCTGATCAACTCCAAAATGTTCATATTTTGGCCTCAACACTCAAAAGTCATTGTCTTTCTAGTTGTTACAATTTTTTCCATCTATCAATGCAGATTAAAAAATTCATTGTTTAAATTACAAACAAGACTGTTATGTTAACTTCAAGACTGAGCTATTGTAGCACTTAGGGCTATTATAGGATGCCTAGGCCTATTTTCTTCCCTATCACTTCCCTATCATTTTTCTATTGTAAAAAAAAAATCAAACAGATTAAATTGGTGTGTTCTTACCTCCAAGATCCATGTCTAGGTCACTTGGAAATCCCTCTCCAGGATGAAGAAAAGGTGAGTTGTACACAGGTGTGCTCTGTGCTACAGGTGGGATTCTCCTCTTCTTAACACACACAGGTTTCTCTGTCACTGTTGTGTCGACATTAAGGGACGCATCAGGGTCCGTAGTACGGTCTCTGTCATCAGGTGAGGGGACAGGTGAGGTGAACAGGTGATCCAACAAACCCAGGACCCCGGGGCTGACACTGCTGAGACTGGTCTGCATTCTGTAGGAGGCAACGACAAGGTACAGTCTTGAATAACTGATGGTGGCAAAACAATTTGGCACAACTTTTTTGTATAGGAATGGTTTATTTCAAAAGATGCATAACATAACGTAACGTAATGTAACCTTACCTAACCTAACCTAACCTAACTTAACATAATATAACATAACTTAACCTAACCTAACCTAACCTAACCTAACCTAACCTAACATAACATAACTTAACATAATATAACCTAACCTAACCTAACCTAACATAACATATGTATATGAAGAGTTATCTACAAAAAACTCCCACCAAGACCACTTGAGAAAAGGGTAGTTTCTTATAATATTAGGAACACTTGAATTCGTTAGTTTATTTTTGTTTTGAACTTAAAACATTGTTTAAAAGATTTCCATGATTTTGGGGGACTTGTAGGTAGATTATGGTGTCTGGAACAAGCAATTGGAATTTAGACCTCTTCCATCTACCCACCTCACATACTGCAAAATCCATTGTGTCAATATTCATAGCGGTTTGGTTAGGCAATTGTTAATGGTTAAAGATACTGAACATTACATGTTGATTAAACTTCAGAATTTATCTGATCTAACCTCTCCATTAGATACACTGAAGTTTAGCACACACCTTGACTGTTGCTGGGTTGTGTCCTCCTCTGGTACAATCCACTCCCCTAGATCCAATGGCAGCTTGACGCCACCTGGCAGCTGAAAAGGGAATTGCAAGACCAGAATTAAACAAAGACATAAAAAGCAAATTTTGGCTGTCAGGGCAGGGATGGTGTTTGAAAACATGGCTTTTCATACTATCCAAATGTTAGCTGTTGCAAACTGTATTTCTTTCAGAAATGTGTGACATACCGACAGAATGGAAAATTCTTAGACCCTGCGTAAGGCATGAGGAATACAAACAGAAGCTAAAGTCTATTGACTAAGACTATGCACAATGTAAAAAGTGACTAATAAACTGGTGGATGTACCAACTACTATGCTGGAGTTAAACCAGGGATTGATGTGTTCAAAAACTTTCCTAGAACTATAATTGCAGAGTGGAACACGCTGTCACCAAGTACAGTATACGTAGAGGCATTATCATTAGATACCTTTAAACAATGTTTAGAGTTAGATGTTCAAGGGTCATGGGACTAGGTAGGTATGTAGGTAGGTTCAAGGGTTAGGTGTAACAAGTTGTTTGGTGTAATGTAGCCGGCTGCTGCCGCGCTGTGTGCCTGCAAAGCTGGTGTGTTATGCCAAAGGGCGGTTATTCCAGCTATACAGAAACAGAAACCTACCCACTGTACTTGTGTGCCCTGCAGTTTATCAACCCAAGGCCTAAGGAAGGAGTACCACTGCTGCAGCTTCTCCTGAAAACTCTTTAAAAGAGCCCTAATGCAAAAGACAATAAAAAAATTATGAACAGCGATTCTCTTCAACCAAATGCATGTACACTGTGCATCATCACATGCTTTAAGCAAATAAACATCATCACAAATGCATTGTCAGATACGTTCTTTACAACAGTTCCTTATACAATGTATATGTACATCTAATTCTTCAGTAGCAGCCTGGCTGTTGATACCACATGCTTGTTTACTTGTAATTCCTTACACCAGTTTTACTTTTATAACTAATTTGTACAAAAAACTAGAGAGGTAACATGTGACACATTCACATGGTCTAGCCCAACAAACCACTGCCCTGTTATGGTGACCTGCCATAATGATTGTAACCCTGTCCTGCCACTTGCTACATAATGTAACCAAACACCACAGGTACCATGCACCAGTTACCATGGTGACAACCATCTGGTCCAGATTATTGAACTTATTTATTTGCAACAAAAGAAAAGAGGCAGAGGAGGAAGAAAGAATGAAGCAAAGGTAAACATCATTGACTGTATCAAATATACAACATGTACCTACCACAGTCTGCTGGTTATGGAGAGTAGAGTGCAGTTGGCTGCCAGGAACAGAGACTTGGTGATCTGTTGAGCTGTGAGGCTGAGAAATGAGTCAAGGACAGACTGGCAAATTGCTAGACCAAAAATCTCAGAAAAGTAAAAAAAAAAGGTTTTTCTAACATTCCTCTATTGACTGAACCTATAGTCAGCAGAAAAACCTTTTGTGCTTTTGGTTGCTTGTTAATAGTTGTAAGCTGTAGAAGATCTTACAAAAGTGTTTTATTTGCATATCAATCAATAGTTTGTGCTTATAAACCTGCATTTCCCCTCTGGTCTCTCAGTCACTGACGAAAGCTAGTGGATACTACTAAGCTGAAACGTCTGACGTTTTTAAAATCATATCCAGTTGCCTGAGTAACTGTTTTTTGGTGTATTGTATTACCTGGATGTCTAACCTTCATTGACAAGTCTTCTTGAGTTACTAGTATCGTGTTGACACACAGACAAACACAAACACAACCAAAAACATAACCTTATTGGTAAAGGTACTTATACATGTAGGTATAACTATAAGCCCCTTCTTCGGCTTTTGAAATGGGACATTTTCTGACGGTTGAGAGGATACATGAATGCTTCAGCACACAGACTGACAGTCTGGCTGGTGATCTCTGCAGCCCCCAGCAGCTTCACAAGGAGAAACTCCAGCAGCTGTCGGCTGGGCAGCAGTACTGCAGCGCCTCCTGTTGAATCATCTTTAGAACTGCAGGGAAAGATACAAAATGCATAAGCATCAAACACATCGTGAAGATCTACAGAAACCACTGTATGACAATCTTAAATATAATGTAACATGGGGGCCTCTGCCTGTCAACATACTTAAAATGTGCCACAGAAATAAGTCCTGTCTTATTATGTAATACCTTGGCAGAAGGAAAACATATTGTTTTTGTTCAGTTTCTTCTTCTTCTTCCATTCCAAACAAATAAAGTCAATGACCTGGACCAGACCAACCTGACGGTAACTGGTGCTGTAGCAGATGTGGTGTTGGGTTACATTATGTAGCAGAACAATGTTGGAGAGCACACTCACCATGCATATGAATGTATTTAACTTTCAGTAAGAATAAACAGTGCAGTAGTTTGTTGGACTAGACCAGGTAGGGGTTAACATTATGCATTTGCTTTTTTTGCACTTACCTTTCTAGACCTCTAGTTTAGTTTAATTCTAGTTTAGTTTAGATTGGCTCACCTTGGACAGCATCTAGTAACATGGGAAAAAGCTGTAACCAGATCCAGTCTTGAAAGCTTTCTGAGAGATTTCTCTATCTGTAGAAATACAGAATGAAAAAAAGAAGTTCACACATCTGCTACAGAAAGCTTGCTGGTATCATGTATCAAATTAACACTTGACAAGTTGACATGCCATTATGCAAGAACATTAGCAGGGCAAACTTTTGCCTGCGTGAAACCCAAATTTTTTAAGGTTTTCATTGGATATTTTGTGAATGTTGTATTTGGTCACATGGCATCCTTAAATATGTGAATATGACTTTTAACGAGAAATTCTGCCAAAATACCATAGTCAATGTTTCCACTTTTTTTTCATAAATACATGTACATTGTACACGTAACATTACAACAGCACAACACAAATACATGTATTTCCAGCTTGTGGCTTCATTTCTTAGAAAACATTATATCATCACTACCTTAAAAGTATAGGTCAGTTAACATTTCCTGCCTGTTCTTACCATTTTGAGGTACTGGTAGTGTTTGTTCCTCCTGAGAGAGGCTGACAGTTTGTACAGGACTCTGGTCAGGACAGACTCTTCAAACTTCAGGTACGGATCCTTCAGCAGGAACATCTCCATACTGACAACCTGGTCTGTCAACACTGCAACTGAGCCTTCAATGGTGGAAATGAAAACATTGCTTACTGGAAGAAGGCATGATACATGCACAATAACAAGTATGAGTGTGCATACTCCCGAGTCAAATGTGAAGACATCCCCCCCCCCGCTACAAATATGCACTAAGGCCACAGCAATTTAATTTCTTGGTTAATGGCTTCGCCCGCTTAATTTTTTTCTGATTTGCAAAAAAAAAAAAGACTCTGTTTCAGGATCAACTGCAAAATGCTGACATTATTTTGCCCTGAACAGTTGAAAACAATCTTTCTTCCTAGTTGTTACAG